AACGCCGGGCTTTCGCGTTCCTCCTGAACGGATCAATCAAATGCAATAAATGGCTCTCCCCAGAATCCGTAGAGCCGACCTCCGAAGAGGGTGGATTCTCCAACGTAGTTGAATTACCAACGATGGTACTAAATACTTTTGCTTTGTCCATTGCACAAATGATTAAATTCTGCATTTTATACCTACTGCAAGGATTCAAAAATTGCCGTCCCTCAGGGATCAGACGCAGACCAGAGGGCCGTCTATTCTAGGTCAGACGCTTATGAATTTACCACCCGCGCGCTTCCTAACCAACGAAATCCGGATTAAGCGCCAAGTACTCGCTTTCACCCGCTCTAGTCAGCCTTACTAAGTAAGTTGCCCAGGAGACGCCCGGCAGATAACTATGTTACCTACCTTCTAGGAGGTGAGAGTCGGATTTGTTGGCAGAGCTGATGTTTTCAGAGGGCATTTCCTAGCATTTTCAGCTTCACATGTTAGGAAAATATGAGACTGACTAGGACCCATGCCAACTTTTGTCCCCTACTATTAATATATAATTGCAAATAGGTAATTATCCCTCTTTCCACACCACTTTGCAGAGGTAGAGAATATGGTGCGAATTTTTTATAAAGGTGTCCCTCAGTACGCCTAATCCACTCACTGAAAAAAATTTGGGATAAACTCGCAATTATATTTGGTGAAAATTTGAGTTGAAATTTGATTTTGAGTTGAAATTTGAATTTTATGTTATTTGGGAAAATCAATATTTTATTTTAGTATAAAAACTTATAGATTTTAGTCAACTTTTCAACTCGAAATGAAAGTAGGAAAAAAATATTCATTTTTCCAACAAAACAAATTCCCAAAACTTCGCTCGGAGGACTTATACTGTCTCTGGGACCTTGCTTCACTATTCTGGGTTTTTGTAGACACACTCGTATGACATGTTTAAGGTTTTGCAAGGTAGGTGATATGATTAGTAATAAAAAGTAGTAACTCTTTTTTAAGCCTTTTTTAAAAAATGTACCTTATAATAGTTTTACCTGGTTTTACCTTTTTAATAAATTTAGAAAATAGATTTAAACTAAAGTTTTGTCTTTATTTTCTTATTATATGGTATTTCTTTTATGTATATAACAACTTTCCCAAACATCAAGTTCGCTTTTATTTGTGAGGTGTTTTAATAATTTAAGATTTTCTAAAGTCACATTTAAATGCTGGTTTAGTGTGCAATTATTGTTTTTAGCACTTTTTCAAAAAAAGTTTGGAAAAAAGTGTTTATTTACTTCACTCTGTCTGTCCGTCCGTCCGTAGATATGTTTACAAAACTTTTACACTCTTGAAGAAAGAAAGCTGAAATTTTATACGTACATAGATCTGTACTAGAAACTTACTCGTATTTCCCTAGAAGAAAATTTTCACCTATCCCCTCCCCTTCAAAAGTTATATACCCTCAAAACCCTAAAAATGCTATTTATACCCGTACGAACGTATGTTCGAAGGCAGACTCTTTGTAGAACAATGGTTTTTGTGGTACTGAAAAATGTTGACAGTTGTTGTTTTATAATTTTTTTTCAAAATGGTTTTTCACTAATTTATCTATTTCATCAGTTTTGTAGCCATTAAATGATGATGCTTCCTGTATAGTTTTTTCATAAAATTAGGAATAGGCAAAGGTAATTTGCATAGACGATTAACCATGCAATGGAATGCCAATATTTTTATTGATTTCGACGTAAAACAGTTATTAGTTATGTATCTCTTGGTTGTTGAACGTTTTCTTTATACATAAAAATCCAGTTTTTATCGTTTATTTTTTACTAAAATGTTCAGGAAAGCTAGTTCTTGGTTGAGTTCAGCTTCATAGGTAAATGTAACAGTGTCGTATGAGTTATTTAAGAAGTTCGAGAGGTTGTCAATTTTACCTTTGTTGATTTTTAGAAAAACGTCGTCAATATATTTGACCCATAATCTTGGTAGTTTGTTTAAACTTCGGAGATGAAGCTCAAAATCTGCCATGAAAATACTCGCAACAAAGCAAGAAAGAGGGTTGCACATACTTGTGCCTTGCAACAGCTTATAAAATTTATTTTGAAACTGAAACTGGTTTTGTTCCACGCATAGCTTCCTGCCTTTGTGTAATTGTTCTACTTTGGTATATGAAAGATCTGAATTCATTAACCAATTTTTTATTTTTTCTAAAGCTCATATTACTGGCACGTTTGGGTACAAAGAAACGACCTCAAATGAAGCTAGAAATTTATTATTTTTTCATTCAAAATTTTTTATCTTTTTAGCAAATTCTAAAAATTTTTAACAAGCATTGGAAGTTTCTTAAATTCACCAACTACCCATTTCGCTATTTCATAACATGGCGACTTCATGTTAAAAACTATAGGCCTTATCTAATTACCTGGCTTATGAATTTTTCTGAAGCCATATAATTTCAGCGATGATGGGTATGAAATCGATAGCTTCCACTGGTACTCCGAATGTTGAAGAAATGTTAGTAATACATTCTCTTGGTAATATGCCTATCACATTGAATGGTATTCGTCACATTGAATGGTATTTTTTACATAATCAACTTTATCTAAAACAACTTACGAATTACTTTCATCTCCTTTCCTGTAGAAAACTAATTTTTTTTTCGTAGATATTATTATGGTCGCTTGATCATCTTTAACATTTGTTTTCCTTTTTAAACTTTCTAGAATATCGTTTCATTTCTATGTTCCTGTTTGATATACATATGTATAATGCTTTTAATTTTATTGCTGTTCCATTTATTATGGTCTAATGAGTATCAAAATATTTCTCAATGGGTGTATAGTTTAAACTCTTATTTAATAGATTTAATTCTCTTTGAGAAAATGATTCACTAGAGAGATTGTGAATGTAATTATTAATAAATTTTAAAATTTGGTTTGTCTATTGTTTTAATTTTTTTTATTAAATTAATAAATAATCGTGTTACTTTATGTTTCTATGATTTTGTTACTTTATTAGAAACTATGTAAATTAAAAAAAAAGTTAATTTTTTATTCAAAATTTTGAAAAATTAATATAATAATAATAAGATACAAAGGCAACAAAGCCCTTATACACAAAATTTATGCGACTCGAATTGAAACTTGAAAATTTGAGAGCACCACAAAAAAGAAATCATTACTTTTAATATTAATCGGTTTTATGGTTTATAAATATAAAAAAAATATTAATTTAATAATAAAAAGTTATATGATGAGTATTTGAATATAGTCAGGAGGGATATTTTTATTACTCCTAAAAGATTGTACGATTTTATAAATTGTAAATGTATGTCTGATGGCTACCCAGCTTCTTTGAAACTCTTGGACCAATTTTCAGACGATCCTTCAGTCATTTCTAATTATGAGGTTCTTCGGCACTATCAGTTTTTGTGTGACGATTATTCGTCGGGTTCCGCTTGTGGTTTTGTGTAGATGTTCTCCTAGTTTGGAACGTTCACTTTGTTTACTATTTAATCTCTCGTTGACAACTGGTGTTTTTCATGGGATTTAGAAAAAGTATTTTTTATTGCGCCCCTTCGTTGTTTGATTAATAATTATAGGCCCATTGCTAAACTGTCACTATTCTTAAATTGTTTAAGAGGATTTTGGTAGGTTACTTTCATTCTTATTGTCAGCTTTTTATCTGCGGAAATGAACATAGTTTTCGGAGGGGTAGGCTTACGATCACCAATGGTCAAGGTGGTCAAATCGAAGTCATTCTCAATTAGTAAGGTTTTTGAAAGAACTGCTCAAAGGGTAATTTTGTTTAACGTGAGAAATATTGGTTTTGGTATCCACACTTTATGATGGGGAGTATATGTAGCGGATGGTAAACTGTGTAGTTTTGCTGATGGCACAAAACTTTTAACTTGTGGTGTCACAGTAATGGTTTAGAACTAAATTTTGATAAGTGTTATTTATTAAGCTTCTCTCGAAAGGCGTGCTTTCTATGATTAAATATATTTAGCGCTTGGAGGGAAGGGTTCTGATGGAGATTAGTCTTATATGTGATCTTGGGGTCACACTCCATCATAGGCTTGACTTTAAGACTCACCTTAACTTGGCTATAAAAAGGGCAAATTCTAAATTAGGTTTCATTAGGAGATGGGTTAAGCAGTTTGCTGACCTTTACGTTGAGAAGCATCTTTATTTATTATATATTAGGCCCATTTTGAAGTACAGAAAATATTTTTTCGTTTCGATTTGCATAGTTTAGGTTGATTCGATCCTCTTTACCGCTGTAAGTCTAGCTATACTCTGTTATTGCTAGACTTACGGACGTGGCGCTCTCGTAGAATAATCTCTGATTTGGCTTTTATTCATCAACTTGTTTCGGATAATGTTGTTTCGCCTTTTTTTTTGGAGCAGGTGTCTTTTAGAGAGAATTCGAACAACCAGATGTCGATGGAGCTTTTCGGTGTTCGTCATCACAGACTAGGATGTTGCTTGTCGTCAATTCTAAATCTGCTTATTTTGATCTTGGTATTGAAAAGGATGCTTTGAGGTATATTTTCTAGAAATTTGAATTGTGTTTAACTGTGGGTTAGATATCAGTAGTATGGTGACCGAACTCTTTTTTGTTTTTGCAATTTTGCAAGTTTTACGGGACTTGATGCAAAATACTTTTTTTGTTTATCCGTTACTAATTCTCTACCATTTCCTTTCTCATCAAGTGACTATTTTGCTGTATTTTTGTACGTCTATATGATAATTGTTTTCGCACTTTCATGCAATATTAATTTGCATGATAATTGATGTTTGACCTAAGTAATTGATTCTGATAAATAATTTAAAAAATAATGGTTTTTCAGACATGTCATTTCGCCCTATATTAACAAAAAAGCAGGGACCAGGCCATGATTTTTGTTATGTTAAGATCGAAAATATAAAAAAAATTTTTTATGTCAAAATATTTTTTAATTCTTAAACATATACTTACATACATATAGTTACAATATAGCATTATATTTTGATTTATTTTTGCAGCTTATAACCAAGTAAATAAACTTCACAATCATGTCAAAATAAACCATGCTGAAGAGAATCGACTTTTATTATGTAATGTATGTGGGAATAGTTTTCGGAGTGCGTCATATTTGAAGCAACATATGCGAATACATACTGGAGAAAAGGTATAGATGTACGATAATTAAGAAAAATTGTTACTTAATTTAAATATTTTTAGCCCATTGCGTGTTCAGAATGTCCAGCTAAATTTTCTTCAAGAGGTATATTTGTAAATTCCTATGTGATTTAGTCGTTGAAATTTTTTTTAATCTCTACTTCAATTTGATACCTTAAGCAATCAAATAAAAGCTTAAATCTAAAACATAACGAGACTCGACGGTATTTCTAGAAATGTTTTTAATTATTTAGCACCAGGTTTTTGATGTAAAAACGTACAAACAGGTTTTGCTTTAACGTCACACATTCGATTTAGCATTACGTTAATAAAAAGCTTTTTGTATTGCTGACACATTTTTAATTTTCCTTATATTAACTTCACATGAATCTTGTTGTTTTAATTATTTTTGATAGTTCTGTTATATACGTGTCGCGCTTCAAAAATGGCAGGGAGGGTATGATGGTTATATTCATATCCATTGAAATCCCAAAAATTCAATCCACAACTGCTGCTAAAACTTATCAATAATTTATCAAAATACCAAGCATGGTAAAAAAATATCAATTAAAAAATTATATGTTTAAAAAAAAAATAAAAAAAAAAAAATTTCGTGGTATATTGATTTTCAAATTTGAACCAAAAATTTTGAACAGTGCGACGTATTTCCGGATCCCATCGTGTTTCGCACTAAATTATCTGTTAAAATTTAGGGTTTTTATTTTAATTACTCTTTATTTATCTTTAATTTTATATTAAAAATGTATGTGATTTATTAAAATTATACTTGTTTTTATCCACGAAGAATATACACTTGCGATCCATATACGTAAACACATATTTACACGTGCCAAGAGTTTCCGAGATGAAGCCAATATTCGGAGTTCCGTTGGTTTTGGTTCAGGAAAAGTTTTTTGGAGTTGGTGTACAACAGTCTGCAGGTCAAAACCTTAGGCGCCGCTATAGAAGATTGTGCTATCTCCGTCGGGTGAACGACTTGAACCAAAGCGTGCTTAACTTTTATAAAGACTGCTTTGAAGGCCTCCGTTCACTCAAATTCCTTTTTCTTCATTGCAAAGGTGTTAATATGTGCGAGAATTTTCATCAAATGTCGCATGAATTGATGGTGGTCATGCTAAAAAAATATTGGGTTTGTTTGACAAAAGATGGTGTTGCAAAGTTTTCAATCGCATGAGTTTTACTTTTTGAGGGAAAAATACCGTAATCGTTGGAGATTTTGTGGCTCAAAAAATCAAAAGTTTCAACACCGAATCGACATTTGAGTAAATTTATCTCGGAAAAAGATTCGTCAAAAGTGCCTCATGTTCGCCGTGATATCTGAAACCTTGTCACATCTGAGTCATGGAGCGCTGCAAGGTTTGAGTGTCGGTTGTCAATGGCATACGAGTGAACTCGAACATTCCGAAAAAAGTTGTAATTGTGGTTTTATATACATACATCCTGTTCCGCCACTGGAATTTCGTGGTTCGTAAATTACGAAACATGATTTTCAGAGTATTAAAAAAATATAAAAATATATTTTTTTTCTTTTTCTGTCTTTATTGTTTTCTTTTTTTATTGCACGATTGACGCAGAGATTTCTTTAACACTCTTTTATTCTGTTAGTTAATGAAAATAATTAAAACACTGAGTTTATTATTAAACCATTTATGTATTTATGATTAATTAATTCGAATTGTTTTTTTTCAATTATACATAGTATTATTTATAACAATTATGATTATTGTTATTAATATCGGAGACTTTATGAGGAATTTTACTTTAAATATTAATGTCGATTTTAAGATGAAAGTGTTCATGATCAAACTGATTCTTCTGACTATCAAACTCAAACTGAAAACTGAATTTCAAAATTTAATTTTACCATTATGTATTTATAAACATGTAATTTAGAAATGCAATTATCATTAGCCCAGACAATATCAATGTTTTTTGTTAATATCTCGCTAATGACTTTCTTTGTCTGGAGAAAGAATTTTTATTATTTGCTATAAAGTTAAACTTTCCATTAATTTATTGTTATTGTTTACTTTTTATTCTCTTATCTATCCCTTTTAAAATCTCGTTATAACATGTTTTATTATTTATTTCTTTGTTAGATGAAGGTATATTTATATATATCACTTCTCCTTCCTTCAGAGTAGAATTCTCCTGAATTCTTTCATTATATGTATATATCTACTTCTCAGGTGCCAAAAAGTACGGGTACTTCTAGAAGGGCTAGAAACATGCGACAAAAGGCATTAGATAGGGTTTTGCCTCTGGGGTTCCAGAAAAATCTGACATTGGAACTTTTTAATCCTGAAATAGTTCTATTTTAAAATTTTCTGAAAAAATTTTTGTATAACAAAAGCACGTTTTTCTTTTATACTTTTTATAATTAGAAACACAAACCAAGAAATAAATAATATTTGAAAATATAATGATCTCACATATTTTTGGTTCGGATAATCGAAATAATTTTAACGTAAATAAATGTCATCTTTTATCAAAGACATCAGATGTTTTGTGGCATCTGAATATTAATGCTTCATTTGTTATTTTTTTGAACATTATATCTCGTCAGCAAGCTTTAAAAAAATATACATACAAAATATATATGTACCTATGTACTTGAAATTTTAGTTTTATTGTTCCAAGCGAAAAACTGTACAATGCTAAATTTTAATATATTCATATGTACATACATATATTTGAATACAATTATTATTTTGTTTTTGCCTAAACCTTTTCTTAATTTGAAAAATTTAATTCTATATGTTCACTAGCAGTTTAAAAAAATAGGTATACATTCATAACTATGTATGTTTGTGCTTAAAATTTTATTTCTCATTGTTTTAATACGAAAAATTTTAATATTAAATTTCAATGAAATCGGTTGATTATTTCTCTTTATATACGCAAAAATGTATATTTGGCCCGAAGTAAACGTCCAGTTGCTGACACCTGATTTCTTCCAAAAGGAGCTTTCGCGGACGGTCGAGCAAGGTTTATATATGAAATTCTAAATAAATCGGTTGAATATTTTCTTCAAAATGATCAAAAATGTAAAACAGGCCCGCTAAAAAGTGCAGTTCCCGAAGATCCCAAAAGTTGATCAATCCGTGCCACAGTCGAAATAAACTTATACATAAAATTTCATCAAAATTGGTTCAGCCGAACTTGAGATACACGCGTGCACATGCAGACCGACAGATCGACAGGTTGCTAAAAATTGTTTATTTACACTTCCCTACTATGGAAAAGTGCATTCCCAACAAAAACTCGATATGCAAAATTTGTTGCCATCACATAACATACCTATTGTATGCACAATACGGTCGGTAATAATTTAGGAATCTTTAAAAAAAATATACGCACATATTTATGTATTTAAATTTTTGCGAATTTTTCCAAACTATTATAACAAAATTTTTTTGGGATATTTTTTTTAAACTTTTATAATAATATTTATCTGTTATATATTAAAAATAAAACAAAAAATTTAAACAAAACAAAAAATTTTTTTTTTTTTTAAATAATCCAAAAAAAGAAAGATACGACAACATCCAGGCAAATATTGATCCAATAACCTCCTGGTTATCAGATTACCACGCTACCCACTAGGCTACGCAGTACCTTGAATTTCCCTTTATATTCTATATATTATTCATATTTCGTATAACTCTTCAAAAACCATCCAATTTTACATTATATATATATAGCTACTAATCAGGTGTCAAAAAGTACGGGTACTTTTAAGTTTTATCTAACAAAATATTAGGAAGAAAACATAATCCACGTGTATATTACGGGTGCGCTTTTGAAGATAAAAAAGTAAATTTAAAATATCTCACATACAGAATGAAACACAATTTCAAAACTACAGACATAATACTTGCAAAGTTTGCAATGCAAACACACACGACTAGTTACATATATTCTTTCTTTAAAAATGTCAACTATTACAATTTTTGAAGGTATAAATGCAATTTTTGATACAAGCATTATTATCATATTTAAATTTAATTTAAACTTAACCAAATATTTTTCTGTTCTTTTATTTCTCTTAAGTAATTTTCAAATTTTAATACAATATCTTCAAAAGTTATTTTGTCTGTAAAATTATTATTTTTGTCTTTACTAGGGTAATAAAATCTTTCTTTAATAAAACTTTTTATATTTTTAAATTCTTGATTCAAAATTTTTAATGTACAGTTATATAACTGTATATAACTGTATTATATTATTATAACTGATCATATAATTTGCATTTATTTTTAAATTTCTTTTATCGCATATTGTTATTTTAATTAAAATAATTTGACCACTCAATGACGTTATTCCTTTTACATTTTTATTGATTAGTTTACAATTATTTTTTTTTTATATTTTTAGCATCTTTAATTCTTCAAACTTATGAATTACATTATTTCTTTCAAATATTGTTTCTTCCATATAATCTATTTCTTTATTTGGTATTGATACTATTCTTCTTAATTGAATAGTTGTAAATATTTTTGGAATCTTTATTGCGAAAATTAATAGTTCTGTCTGAAAATTTACTTGCCTACTCTGATAAAAGTAATTTATGAAAATCTATGTTATAATTTTCTATTTCCTCACTACTAGCGTATCCATAAATACCCCGTCTAGCGGAAGCAATGTTTTCTTATATATGTTCGAGTTTTTCTTTTAATAGTTGTAATAAATTTTGTTTAATACCTACTTCTACTCGCATCATGTTAATTTTATTCAATTATTTTCTATCTTCTAATATTAATTTTTTTAATTGTATAATACTTTCATTCAAATTTTCATTAATTTTTATTTGTCCGCTTAAATTCTTTATGATATTATTATAGAAATTTCTTATTTAAATGCTTTTTTATTTGTTCTCTGTCTTCACTATTAATTGTAATAGGCCATTCCATTGTATTAATTAACCGCCTTTTAGTTTTTTGTGAAACAATTGTCTTCATTTTGTCTTTTAAAATTTTCAATACGAACCGTAGCACGTTTTTATTTACTATGTCAAGTTTTTTTGTATTTATGGATATAATGCCATATATATCTATCAGGCCTCCAAGCTGAAATTTTTTTTTA